TAGATAGATAGATAGATATAGTTAGATAGTTAGATAGATAGATAGATAGATAGATAGATAGATAGATAGAGATAGAGATAGATAGATAGATATAGATATATAGATAGATAGATAGATATAGATATAGATATAGATATAGATATAGATAGATAGTTAGATAGTTAGTTAGTTAGTTAGATAGATAGATAGATAGATAGATAGATAGATAGATAGATAGATAGATAGATAGATAGATAGATAGATAGATAGATAGATAGCCAAGACATTCACAATCTTACACGGGAAAAGACCCAAATAACCAGCATACTTACACCCGTGAAAATCTACGAAAACAAATATATATATTTGTAATATGCACATAAAAGGAATGACCTCATTGTTTAAGCAGCTATTGGACAATAGCTATTGACCTATACAGGGAGGAAACAGATTAAATCACCTCTTCAGATTTCAGTACATAATAACTAATATTAGATAAACAAATCAAACATAATTCAACCACCTAGTCATAAAAAAGCGAAGGTTAGAATATTTTGGACATGTGATGTGACACCTGGACGAATACGGCATCCTTCACTTAATCCTCCAGGGAAAGATTGAAGGCCAATGAGGTCCAGGCAGAAGAAGAACATCGTGGCTTCAAAATCTAAAGGGACTGGTTTGGCCAAAACTCAACAGCAATTTTTATGCGGCTGTTGATAAAAATAGGATTGCCAACATGATCGCCAACATCCGATGATGGATACGGCAGAAGAAGATGAAGAAGTCCTACTATCTTTTGCTAATTAAGAAAAACTTCATCTATTGCATCACTTTTTTCTCTCTACCACCATAGCAAAGATAATAATAATAATAATAAAAAACCACTAGCATTCCAAATCTCCTTTTTCCAAACAGAATACCTTGGAATTACAGCCAAAGAAATTATATATAATTCACAATTAAAGATGATGGCACTCAGGACCACCTCCAGGTCCTCTAGAAAAAGGTCTCATCCTTACGTGTTAGAATACAACTTGAAGGATTCCAACTATCTTGCAAACTCTAAAAGCCGTAATTTGGAAAGGGCCTGATTAGGGGTTATATAAATTCCAGGTAGGACCCAAAATATTCTGTTTACACAGGGATTATTTTATAAGAAATGTTACTTAATAAACTTTGGCCTGAGACTCTGTATGAAATATAATTTAAAACTACCTCCCAAAATAAAGAAAAAAAAGTTCCACTGGAAGCATATTTCAAGTTTTATTACTATGCGCCTTTAAGTTTTCACTGTAATATAAGTGACCTTCTGTGTGCTCTGTGAACTTGATATTCTTATTGCTAAATAGCCTAATTTTACTTTTGTTATTTTTTGACATAGGTTCAAAATCCGTAAATGGATTCTATACAATTTAAACGTAATAATACAATTAATTAATCCAATTAATTATTTAGCAAAAATTGATAATCATTAATTATTTTAAAATACATTAAAACAGTGCAATGTATCTGATCATCTGAATTAAAATTTAATGCAGCATAACATCTAAATAAATATTAACAAAGTATAATACTGTTCCTGATTTCAGCATCTATTTTATTCCCCCCCAAAAAAAATGTTCAAGTAAAGATTGACAAAACCATAAAATAAAACAAAATATTGCTTTAATCTTGAGCCTCAGGAATTCGAACTTGCAATCTGCAGTTTATACCAGCTTAAATGCTTTTGAGTTCAACTCAATAATAATACACAACTCCTAACTTCTTACCGCGCCATGTAGCCTAAGATGTGAGCTTTGATGATCATGGCTGCTTTGCTAACCTCTATTTCTCGCTCTTTTTCTAACGTGTGTTCCAAAGATTCGCGTAGAAATACCTGAAAATATAGCAAATGCATTTTTAATTAATTTGCATTTACTAAATTACAAATGAATTTCAATGCCTGGAGGGGGAAAAAAGCAGAGTGTTGTTTATTTATTTATAACATTTATCTAATCTCCCTGAAATTAGCTGGACATTAGGAATTTACAGAAGCTTAAAAACAAGACACAAATTGAAAGTTAAAGTTGATTAACTAATAGTACTAAAATTAAGAAACGGTGCCACAGTATTTCAAGCCTCCTAAAAACAGTAACAATTTCACCACATTGCAGAAGCTCCAAGGTAAGGAGCTAGATGTGTTTCAGTGGGAAGATTTTCCAGAGGATGATGGCTGCTACAGAAAATGCTCACCATTGGTCCCCACCACCCAGTCCTTCCTAATAGGACAGGCACACCCTATGTCAGGGCTGCTTCGCTTAATAACCAAGAAAGAAACCACTCAACTCCATTTTGCAGAATTAAGAGTACTTTTGCTGGTTATAAGTAAATAGAAGCTAAGCAAAGCTGAATCTGAGCAAAAGCGCGCGCAAGCATTAGATATCAAAACATGACCCATTCCCCTCCCCTTGGTAATCCCAGCCCATAGTCCAATCCAATTTCCCCACAAGTGTCATGTGGGAGACATCTTCAAAAATCATAATCAGGTTGGTATGCCGGACAGTTGGCCTTGGCGGGAAACTCCTCTCCCTGCCACATGCGCAGTCGATGGTGAGAACAACTCCCTTTTCACAGTCCTCCTGTACAGAATATTTCCCACACCCAAATACCATGCCCCCCTCCCCGTTTCAATGGCAGCCGAAAAGCAAGCAGCAAAACAGAGGCTGACATCCTAGTTAGCAATAGCAGTTAGACTTATATACCGCTTCATAGGGCTTTCAGCCCTCTCTAAGCGGTTTAGAGTCAGCATATTGTCCCCACAATCTGGGTCCTCATTTTACCCACCTCAGAAGGATGGAAGGATGAGTCAACCCTGAACCGGTAAGATTTGAACAGCCGAACTGCAGAACTGCAGTCAGCTGAAGTAACCTGCAGTGCTGCATTTAACCACTGCGCCACCTCAGCTCTCTAGAGACCTCGATCCCCTTTGTCAGTGCCTTGACTTTATTGTGGATAATGTGTTTGCGAAGCGTGCGCTCAGTGAAACGGTTGTTAAGCTGGTGGGACCCCACCCCGGCCTGTAACTCTGCACAACGTAGGATATGGAAGCTAAGGAATTGCAAGAAAAGGATTGCAGAGACAAAGAATTATGAATGCAGAAGAAATATCTTGGTGGTGCAGATTTACCTGCATACCTAAATATGAAAAAGCTTATTTAGGCTACAATTCATATTAAACAACTGGGAGTGGAAGCATTAATGCTTTGCAATTGAGATTGTGCATATTCTGCAGCCACGTATAATCTACCTTCCTATGTAATTTAAGATTAGACAATGTGGAGCCTACATGCACCACTGTTGTGGCAAACATCTCTACCATACCTGTTCTGTTGATACCCATGATTAAAGAAATATGTACTTGCACATCTATTTATTTGAAATGTTAAATAATGGAAGTGTTTTAAAGGGAAGTGCTGATTCCAGCTATTTATTTTTATTTATTTATTAGACACATTTATATGCCGCCCAATCCCGAAGGACTTGCCATCCTTATTTTCTTGAATTCTTTAGGGCTCATCTGGGCTAGAGACATTCAAGAAAATGAAGAGAAAATGGGCTAAAAGTTGTGGATGGATTGCAGTCCCAGTCCCATGAAAAACAACAACTGCAATGGAAAAGAAAGATCGTACTGCTGTTGATGGATACGAGACAAAGTGTAGGGATGAAAGTGGAGAAGACAGAAGATGACTCTTGAGGTGGAACTGGATTGGGATTGACCCAATGAGCCTGGAGGATGGATGGGGAAGAGAGTAGCTCAAGTACACAGGGTTAAGCGTTGATTCCAGATGGGGAAGATATACAGGGTGACCGGGGCCTAGGAAGAAAATAAAGAAAGGCTCTCTGCATTTTGGGCTGGATGAATGCTAATTTCAATTAGGCCAGTGATGAAATTCCAATTTTTTACTACCGGTTCTTTGGGCGTGGCTTGGTGGGCGTGGCAGGGGAAAGATACCGCAAAATCTCCATTCCCACCCCACTCTGGGGCCAGCCAGAGTTGGCATTTGCTGGTTCTCTCAACTACCTTATTTTTCAGAGGATAAGACACACCTTTTTACCCCAAAAAGAGGGTGAAAATCTGGGTGCATCTTATACTCCGAATGTAGCTCCACCTACCTGCTCTGTGCATCGCATTTTCGGGGGGGGGGGGGTTCCATGCAGCGGGGATCCTCACTTTCACATGGCGCTTGATTCCTGAAGCTTGCTGGAGAACTGCGATGAAAGCCTTTTCAATGAAAGCGTTTTTGGACTGCATGGCCCCCTCCGATTCCAAAAAGGGCGCATGCAGAGGCCAAACAAGTGCATCATGTTTCAGGTGGCAGGCAGTTCCAGCTTCCGCTGCCACCTGAAAATGCTTTCCTTCCCAGTTCCTCGGTGCACATCGCAGAGCCACGCGCCCTCCTCCTTCTCCTCTACAGACTCGCCGCCTGTTTTCTCCTCGACAGCACCGTTGGCTGGGGGAGGCAGGGAGAAAAGCGAGAGGGCAGCGCAGTCGAGCGAGAGGTGGGGAGAGTCCAGCAGCGCCCGGGGCACTTCTTCGCCACTGGCAGGGATGCCGGGCACCCCATCCCCTGCCCCACCTGCCACCCCCAAATTGTGCCCCACCACGAATGGGGTGCCCAGCATCCCTGCCAGTGGCAAAGAAGTGCCCCGGGCACTGCTGGACTCTCCCCTCCTCTCGCTTGTTGGGGCGGGGATGGTCCAACTTCGCCCGGCACGCTGCCTCTCTTCTACTGTCAGCTGTTATCCGGGAGAGGGGGCGCGAAACCATGGTCGCTGGCAGAGACACTTAAGGCCGTGGGCTCTATGAAGTGGCTGCCAGGGCACCCCATTCCTTGCCCCACCTGACACCCCCAAATTGTACCCCACTGTGAAATGTGCATCTTAATAGAGCCATGACGCAGGTTTCCTTTGCTGCCTGCGCACTCCGGGTGGCCAGCAGCCAAGCCTGCAATCAGCCGGCTGCCTCTAATGTGCCTCCCCTGTGTCCGTGCCTGGCTCCTTTGCCCGACTGCGCTGCCCTCTTGCTTTTCTCCCTGTCTCCCACAGCCGACGGTGCTGGCCAGGAGAAAACAGGCAGCGAGTCTGTAGAGCAGGAGGAGGGCGCGTGGCTCTGCGATGTGCACTGGGGAATTGGGAAGGAAAGCATTTTCAGCTGGAACTGCCTGCCACCTGAAACATGATGCACTTGTTTGACCTCTGCACGCGCCCTTTTTGGATTCAGGGAGGGGACCCTGCAGCCCAAAAACTCTTTCATTGAAAAGGCTTTCATCGTAGTTCCCCAGGTAGCTTCTGGAATCAGGCTCCAACTGAGGCAGCAAAGATGTTAGCCAGATGAATACTGATGGATGCTGCTGGGAAAGAGGCAGAAAGGTGTTTTTTTTTCCTGATTTCCTCCCCCAAAATTAAGGTGCGTCTTATACTCTGAAAAAATATGGTACTCAGTAGTAGTAGTAGTAGT